CTGCAGGAGGAGATGCCCTACCCCTAAAAAACACACTGCATACTGCGCCCGCAAATATCTGTTCCTTCCCTGTCCCACAGTGAGTACAGAGGTAGGGGGGTTCTGTGGAAGCAGACGGTGAGTACAGAGGTAGGGGAGTTCTGTGGAAGCAGACGGTGAGTACAGAGGTAGGGGGGTTCTGTGGAAGCAGACGGTGAGTACAGAGGTAGGGGGGTTCTATGGAAGCAGACGGTGAGTACAGAGGTAGGGGGGTTCTGTGGAAGCAGATGGTGAGTACAGAGGTAGGGGGGTTCTGTGGAAGCAGATGGTGAGTACAGAGGTGGGGAGGTTCTGTGGGAGCGGATGGTGAGTACAGAGGTAGGGGGGTTCTGTGGGAGCGGATGGTGAGTACAGAGGTAGGGGGTTCTGTGGGAGGAGGGGGGGTTCTGTGGAAGCAGACGGTGAGTACAGAGGTGGGGAGGTTTTGTGGAGCGGATGGTGAGTACAGAGGTAGGGGGGTTCTGTGGGAGCGGATACAGGGTGAGGTTCTGTGGGACAGGTGAGTACAGAGGTAGGGGGGTTCTATGGGAGCGGACGGCGAGTACAGAGGTAGGGAGGGTGAGTTCTATGGGAGCGGATGGTGCTGTCACTTCAGCTGCGCTTCTGTGTTTCTAAGAGACAGTAGATATGGGTGTGCGCAGGGCCAGTGCCGGAGGTGCTGGAATGGCGTTCCACCATGTTTCCAGCTGAAAATAAGCCCTGATCCCAACTAGGTCTTATTTTCGGGGTAGGTCTTATACTTTAGCAATTCACAAAAATAGCACTAGGTCTTATTTTCGGGGAAACAGGTTATTTAGGCTCATTTATTTCTTTACTTGTAAGGTTACTTTAAGTGCCAGTTCACATGTATGCGGCTTGGATGCGGTTCAGAACTGCATCCAATCCTCATGACATGTGAAATCCGCATGACATGTGAAATAACATTGCTTCCAAAAATGTAGATTTATATTTTTAAAGACATACAGTATATTTGAAATGTATTTTAAAAAATATATTTTTTATATATATATATATATATATATATATATATATATATATTGTGACAGGATGAACGGCGAGGTGATAGAGGGACGCTATGTGTCACCTCGCATATGCTCATACCTGACCGTTTAGGTGGAGTCCACTCCGGGTTTTCGGGGCCACAGTTAAGCAGGTGGGTCCGGACCAGAGTTTGGGCTCCACTAATGACCACCAACAGGTGGTATAAATAAAGGCAGGGCTGAAGCAAGGAGTCGCTTGTGGCCTGGGACTCAGAGAGGTGTTCTGAGAGAGCTGTGTGTGTACGATACCTACAAGAAAAGGTTTGGTTTAGTTTTGGGTGACAGGGAGAAGCCCTTCACCTCTGAGAGAGGAAATGCCTTTTGTTTAGTTAGTGCCTGGATGGCAAGGGTTTATTTTCATGTTTTGTTTATTTTCTGCAAACCTTTTAAATAAAGCTGACAACCAGTCAGATTTTGATGAAAGCCTGCTGTGCGGTCTACCTTTGTCCCAGGGAAGGAGATCCCCCACCTGAGCTAACCCCACTATATATATATATATATATATATATATATATATACATACATACATACATACATACATATTTTTTAGATATATTCTTCAGATTTTAAAAAAATATATTTTTCATATATTTTGTACTAAAAAATGCATATCAACATACAGTATGTATATTGAATATGGCCAAAATTGTAGTATTTCAAATATATGTAAATATACTTGGGAAGAATATTTTTAAAATAGATTTCAAATATATTTTTCTTCCATATGGGATTAATGAACTAGAAAAAAAAAACAACACTGGCTGAAGCTGCTCCTTTGATGCAGAGCAAGTCCTGGCTCACATTTTGACAGCCAGAATTTCCGGCAATAGTAGCCTGGGATTGGTGGCTTGGGAAGAAGAGCACGTCCTTTGCCCTAGGGCACTTATTGAAGTTTTTTTTTTTAGGGCGTATCTCCTCTTAAGGGCTGGTAATGGTTAAAAAAAATCATCAAATGTGGTTTAAAATATTGCCAAGATAACTGTACAAAAATCTTGTAATGATAATTGACACAAGTTATCATTACTGTGAGCCTTCCCTTTCCCACTAAAACATAACTTTTATTTCCACATTTAAAGCTCTCTAGGGGAAAACAATGCATACCCAATTAGATTAAATACTTGCAAATTAAATTGTCTAAAAATGGGAATTCATTTCAAACAGAGTGAGATTTTTAAATGTTGAAATAAAAGTTATATTTTAGTGTGATAAATGATAAAGTGTGTCAATCATCATTACAAAAGAGAGGACAAAATGAATCGTTCTCATAACTGCCTTAACTCTGTCTTCATGTTAGTCTGTAATCCTCTGCACACCAGAAATCACACTGATGGTGGAGGGCCCTGCCCAATGGGCCATTGAGGCTCTACTGCAGGAGTGGGCAAACTATGGCCTGCCAGCTGTTTTCAGAACTACAAGTCCCATCATTCTTCAGCCTCTTGGAGTCATGAGTGGCTAATACCTCATGGGACTGGAGGGCTAAAGCTTGCTCACCCATGCTCTACTTCAGTGGTCTCCAAATTGTGGCCTGGGGGCCAGATGTGGCCCTTTGCCTGCCTTTACCCATATGGAAAAAAAATATTTGAAATTTATTTTAAAAATATTCTTCCCAAATATATATTGCCATATATTTGAAATGCTACAATTTTGGCCATATTCAATATATTTCAAAATATATTTCAATAAATATACATATACTGCAGGTTGAAATTCATTTTTATTACAAAATATATGAAAAATATTTTTAAAAATAGATTTCAAATATACTGTATGTCTTTAAAAATACAAATCTACATTTTTGGAATGCACTTACAAATATATTTAAAAATCTATGTTAAAATGACTTTTATATATCCTTAAAAAATCTGAAGAATATATTTAAAAAATATATATTTTTAAAAAGATTTTTTAAACATATAAAAAAGTAATATATAACATATATTTGTAAATGCATTCCAAAATTGTAGATTTGTATTTTTAAAGACATACAGTATATTTGAAATATATTTTTCATATATTTTGTAATAAAAATGAATTCCAACATGCAGTATATGTATATTGATATATATTTTGAAATATATTGAATATGGCCAAAATTGTAGCATTTCAAATATATGGCAATATATTTGGGGAAAAATATTTTTAAAAATAGATTTCAAATATACTGTATGTCTTTAAAAATACAAATCTACATTTTTGGAATGCATTTACAAATATATTTAAAAATATATGTTAAAATGACTTATATGCTTAAAAAAAATCTGAAGAATATATTTAAAAAATATATATTTTTAAAAAGATTTTTTAAACATATAAAAAAGTAATTTTAACATATATATTTTTACATATATGTTTAAAAAATCTTTTGAAAAATATATATTTTTTTAAATATATTCTTCAGATTTTTTTTTAAGCATATAAAAGTCATTTTAACATATATTTTTAAATATATTTGTAAATGCATTCCAAAAATGTAGATTTGTATTTTTAAAGACATACAGTATATTTGAAATGTATTTTTAAAAATATTTTTCATATATTTTGTAATAAAAATGGAAAAGTCTTTAGGAGACTGCTGGCACAAAGAGGAGGAAGGCTGTGGAAGAAGAATAAAATAAGCGTATCACCATAGTCATCATCCCCTAATATATTTCCAAATAGTGAAGAACCAATAAGAATTTTAATGCTATGACATTAGAAAAAGCAATCTCACAATGAAAGTGGGATCATCATAGGCAGAGGAGTGATGTTCAAAGTAGGTAGCACCCGATAATATAAAGTGAAAATATTTTAGAGTTTAACGTGCATGTCATACAGTCAATGAGTTTGGGACCATGCATGACCTCTTTCTCAAGGTGAGTTAACAAAGGTAAAAAAAATAGCACATTTCTTAAACACCTCCATATTGGAAAAATACAGCAGCTAAGAGTTGAATGTGTATTTCTAGAATACTTTTTTAATAAACAGTGGATTAGAAAACACTCTCAAGCTGCCAGTGTGCCTGTGAATGGCTGTGATCTGAGCTGTCGTTGGACAGCTCAGATCGCAATCATGATGTACAGAGCCAATCAGAGTGGATCTGTTCCTTGTAATTGCTGTAAACCAATCACAAGTGGCATTACAAGTGTAAACAGTAAGTAGTGTTTACAAACATTCAGGTGAACTTCCTCCTTTGTAAATAGATTGATTGTTTGTACACTCAGCAGGAAAGATGATTGGCAGATCTAAGGTGATGGTGGGGGTCTTTATTTATTGATGTGAACTGGGTGTGGGGTGGTTTAAAATCCCACTGGCCACCAGTGATTGTGGGATCATTTTTTTAAGCTAAAGGGATGTAGATAAACCCACACTTTTGTTCCTTTTTCCATTATTTAATAGAAATGTAAAAAAAAAAATCCCAGTGGTTATTAAATACCACCAAAAGAAAGATCTATGCCTAAAAATAAAAGTAAAATTAATTTGGGTATAGTGTTGCATGTTCGTGAGCACTTCACATATGATGGAGCTAATAAGAGGGAGATCTTTCCCATCTTCCCGCCACCACACAGAGCTATGATGCTAATGTGCATGGGGTGATTAGGGTGTGCCCAGGCACATCCGGCACACCATGTGCACACGTCTATGCTTGAGTAGCAATTGTTTATGCTATATCATTTTTTTAATTTGCTATTTCTTTTTCCACTAAAGTGGAATTACCCTTTAAAAATCAAATCTCACTGTTCCAGCTTTAAAGAGTCTGGCCTTATTTCTTCCAAAAGCCAATTTATTCTACTTTTGGCTGAGGTTGCACTTGAAGGATAGGCCCATCATCATTAACATGAGTGCATTCTGAGAAAAAAATGATTGTCTAGTCTTAAATATTTGCTAGACCAAAGAAACGTTTGCTATGTCATTACCATTGTTTGCTTAATTCTTTATCCACAGGTCGATGACATTATGATGGAAAAGGCTGCTGAAAAATATCTTTTTAATCCACCCAAGACAAAAGAGGGCTACTTCTACCGGCAGACCTTCGAAAAGTACTACCCGGGGCGTGCCGACTGGCTGGCCCATTACTGGATGCCTCGTTGGATTCATGCCACGGACCCCTCCGCCCGCACTCTCACGCATTACAAGTCAGATATCAATGCCTAAACTCTATTCTTCCTCTGAGATAAAGAAATAATTAGTTTTTTGCATTAAAGTACAGCAAGTGCCAATGGTGGCTTCCAGACCGGTGGAAATAACATGTGGACATTACGCCTGGGTTTTATTTCACATTCAGTTTTAGTCTGACTTTCAATAAATTGATGTTTACCTCCAGACCACCTGACTGACAGATTTTGTTAATATTAAATATGTGTATCACCTAACCCCAAAACCCCTCAAAAAGTCACGCTTTCTCCCCAGAAAGCAACACAGTATTATAACCTTTTTGAAATGTATAAACAAATTCAAATAAATAAATGAATATAAAAAAATCCAAACACTTCGATATAATAATAAAATTCAAATTGAAAAATATTCAAATTGAAAAATAAATAAATAAATAAAAAAGTCCAATACAAAGTGTCCCAAAAAAGTCCCAATATAAACAAAAATTAGTGTCCAACAGAATGTGTCCAAAAATTGTCCAAATTTCCAAATTTAATTCATCCAGTCATAAGAAATTCTTTTTTAGCCCGTAATACATCGAAAAAAACAAATTTTAGAGATCTAGTGCATAGTTTTAGTACATAATATATTCTCTCCGTGCAAACACAAAAATGTGCAAACACTATATATGTGTATATCTTTTCCGTGCACAGTGAATAAACGGTGACCACTCAGTGAACACTGCAATACTTGTATCCACCAGCACCAATATTAGATACTATTACCCTCTGTATCCATATGAGATCTTCTAAATGCTCCAAAAATATTCCAAGGTCCTCAAAAGACAAGAAGGGTCTCAAGGCTCATGTTCAAGATGTAATAAAACAATTTAATAAGAACTTACATTAAAATTGCCAAATTCCGGCTTTCAACATGCCTTCTCTGTGAGTCCTAACAAACAAATGCGATTTGCCATGTGTTGGGGAAAATGGCCGCGGCGACACTTCCGGTCTGCGTGCGTGCGTCACTACGTCACACCCTTAACGCGTTTCGTCACTTCCGGACTTCCCTTCAGACGAAGTCCGGAAGTGACGAAACGCGTTAAGGGTGTGACGTAGTGACGCAAGCACGCAGACCGGAAGTGTCGCCGCGGCCATTTTGGGTTGTCAACACATGGCAAATCGCATTTGTTTGTTAGGACTCACAGAGAAGGCATGTTGAAAGCCGGAATTTGGCAATTTTAATGTAAGTTCTTATTAAATTGTTTTATTACATCTTGAACATGAGCCTTGAGACCCTTCTTGTCTTTTGAGGACCTTGGAATATTTTTGGAGCATTTAGAAGATCTCATATGGATACAGAGGGTAATAGTATCTAATATTGGTGCTGGTGGATACACAGTATTGCAGTGTTCACTGAGTGGTCACCGTTTATTCACATGTGCACGGAAAAGATATACACATATATAGTGTTTGCACATTTTTGTGTTTTGCACGGAGAGAATAATTATGTACTAAAACTATGCACTAGATCTCTAAAATTTGTTTTTTTCGAGGTATTACGGGATGAAAAAAGAATTTCTTATGACTGGATGAATTAAATTTGGAAATTTGGACAATTTTTGGACACTAATTCTGTTGGACACTAATTTTTGTTTATATTGGGACTTTTTTGGGACACTTTGTATTGGACTTTTTTATTTTTTTTATTTATTTATTTATTTTTTTCAATTTGAATTTTATTTTTCAATTTGAATTTTATTATTATATCGAAGTGTTTGGATTTTTTTATATTCATTTATTTATTTGAATTTGTTTATACATTTCAAAAAGGTTATAATACTGACAGATTTTGTTATTAGAGAAAATTTTGCAGCTTCTGTCTAGGGGTTTCAGAATCACAAATGTTACAATGTTTGCAGAATTGTAAATGGGAACTGCAGTCTTTTCAACGTATTTTTTTAGCTATACATGTATAACAGATAAAGATGAAGCTGAACTTCAGACAGATATAAAAGATACACATTGTGTCTTGTTCTGTATAAATAAATAACATATTTAAGAAGAATTCCAAGTATGGATATTTATACATAGTTTACATCAGGCCAACTTGAACCCATAAGATCCATCTAGGACAGGGGTCTCCAAACTTATTAAGCAATAGAACCAGTGTACTGTCTTTTAGGAGGGCCAGACTGTGGCCAGTGGGCGGAGAAAATGCCTCAGACTTGGTGGTCAGTGGGGGTAAAAAAATTAGAAAAAGTCTGTGGATAGTAGGAGGATGTATAGAGCCCCACCATTGGTATTAGTGGGAAGAATAATCCCAATGTTGGTGTCCAGTTGGAGGAAGGGTGCCCCATAGTTGGTATCACTAGGAGGAATAATGCCCATCATTGGTATCAGTGAGAGGAAAAGTGCCCCATCTTTGGTATTAGAGGGAAGAATACCCCCCATCCTTGGTATCAGTAGAAGGAATAGTACCCCATAATTTGTGTCAGTGGAGGGAATAATGCCCCATCATTGGTGTCAGTGGGAGGAATTGTGCCCCATCATTGGTATCAGTGGGGGGAATTGTGCCCCATCATTGGTATCAGTGGGAGGAATAGTGCCCCATCATTGGTATCAGTGGGAGGAATTGTGCCCCATCATTGGTATCAGTGGGAGGAATAGCCCATCATTGGTATCAGTGGGAGGAAAAGTGCCCCATCTTTGGTATTAGAGGGAAGAATACCCCCCATCCTTGGTATCAGTAGAAGGAATAGTACCCCATAATTTGTGTCAGTGGAGGGAATAGTGCCCCATCATTGGTGTCAGTGGAGGGAATAGTGCCCCATCATTGGTATCAGTGGAGGAATAGTGCCCCATCATTGGTATCAGTGGAGGAATAGTGCCCCATCATTGGTATCAGTGGGAGGACTAGTGCCCCATCATTGGTATAAGTGGGAGGAATAGTGCCCCATCATTGGTATTAGAAGGAAGAATAATCCCCATCACACATGCAAATGAACTTTAATGGCATCCCAGTCTTAGTCCGTAGGGTTCAATATTGAGTTGGCCCACCATTTGCAGCTATAACACAAGGTTTAGGAGTGTGTCCATGGGAATGTTTGACCATTCTTCCTGAAGTGCATTTGTGAGGTCAGACGAGAAGGCCTGGCTTGCAGTCTCCGCTCTAATTCATGGTGTTCTATCAGGCTGAGGTCAGGAATCTTTGTAGGCCAGTCAAGTTCCTTCACCCAAACTCACTCATCCCTGTCTTTATGGACCTTGCTTCGTGTACTGGCGCGCAGTCATGTTGGAACAGGAAGAGGCCATCCCCAAACTGTACCCACAAAGTTGGGAGCATGAAATTGTCAAAATGTCTTGGTATACTGACGCCTTAAGAGTTCCCTTCACTGGAACTAAGGGGTAAGCCCTACTTCTGAAAAACAACCCCACATCATAACCCCCCCCCCCCCACCAAACTTTACACTTGGCACAATTCAGTCAGGCAAGCACCATTCTCCTGACAACCGCCAAACCCAGACACGTCCATCGGATTGCCAGGCAGAGAAGTGTGATTGATCACTCCAGAGAACATGTCTCTACTGCTCTAGAGTCCAGTGGCGGCGTGCTTTACGCCACTGCAACACTTTGCATTGTACTTGGCAATGTAAGGCTTGGATGCAGCTGCTCGGCCTTGGAAACTCATTCCATGAAGCTCTGTACACACTGTTGTGCTAATCTGAAGGCCACATGAAGTTTGGAGGTCTTTAGCTATTGACTCTGCAGACAGTTGGCGACTTCTGGGCACTGTGCACTTCAGCATGCGCTGACCCCGCTCTGTCATTTTACGTGGCCTACCACTTGGTGGCTGAGTTGCTGTTGTTCCCAGTTGCTTCCACTTTGTTATAATACCACTAACAGCTGACCGTGGAATATTTTAGTAGCCAGGAAATATCACGGATGGACTTATTGCACAGGTGGCAACCTATTACGGTACCACACTTGGAGTCACTGAGCTCCTGAGAGCGACCCATTCTTTCACCAATGTTTGTAGAAGCAGTCTGCATGCCTAGGGGCTTGATTTTATACACCTGTGGCCATGGAGGGGATTGGAACACCTGAATCCAATGATTTGGAGGTGTTCCAGTACTTTTGGCAATATTGTGTATATACACATACTACATATTTACATACACAGCATATAAAACAATGTAATGGCTTTAAATAAAAGCATAAATACTCTTGCCCAATACCATTGTAGCTCCCTTTAATTTAAGACTCCATTTCCACTCCAGTTGCTGACAGAATCTTGTGGCTAGATCCTATATGTTATCTGACATCTAAGTAATGTAACTGTTCTTATCAATTGGCCATGCCTCCAAACCGGTGGCATGGTTCGGTACTAGTGAGCCCGCACACCAATGATGTCATTCCAGTATACAAAGATTTGCCCCTTTCCTAGAGAAAGTTCTGCTTGCCTCAGAAGAGAGTCCTAAACCGTAGAACGGCTCTTAGCCTAAAAAAGACCCCTTGCCTCATGATATGGCCTTCTGCCTCATAGAACTCACCTTGCCTTACAGAATAACTGATTGCCTTACAAAATGTCAATCTGCTTCATATAAGTGCCCCTTGCCTTAAAGAATGGACTCAATGCATAGAATGGCTCTTTGCCTCAAAAAGGCCTCATACCTCAAGTCATGGCCTTGTGCCTCACAGATTGTCCACTTCATGGAAGGTCTCTATCCTCCTAGGCTAGCCCCCATACCTTACACAATGCCTTCGGCCTTTGATTAATGACCACTTTCTGAAAGCACAGCTCAGTGTTCATGTCAGTTAGGAAATCATTTAGAAAAGAAAATGTAACTCCCTATTATCTTGTCACAACATGTCATCCATTTAGACCTTCAGGAAAAGTATTCCCTTGTGGGATCTCTGCATTGACCTTGAATATATTTAGAAAGAGCCATCCCTGCAAACTAAGGAGTATATTCTGGACTGCAAACAACGGTTGCACTGAGGTCCCAGTAGCATTTTACCAGCTAAGAAAATATATATATACATTTTCTCAAATTAGTG